CTCTATGGTCAAAACTAGGACAACTGAGCATTACAAATAAGTTAAGGATAGAAATGGATTATAAGTTACTGAATAAAACAAGGGTCCATATTGACAATAAATATATGACTAGATGAATAACGAGAAAGCAAGGCTCTTCTTTATAGTTGAATGCCAACTGATAGAGACAGAAGGTTCGGGTTAGAAAACCACCATTTTGCAACCATCATGATAAACACTGTCTTGGGCAAGAATCGTGAGTGGATACTAAGTCTAGGTAGGGAAAATATGAAGAGGAACAGAATATTTGCAAAATCTCAAAATGCCTCCTCACAGATTATTAGTTGCAAAGGGCATAATTATGAAAATCCTGGGGAGAAATCAGACACCGTCTTGACCACTTCTGACCGTGATCAGAATTATATCACCAGGAAGGAGCAGATGGACACTGTGGACCTTGTGATGTGCTCCTCTGAAAAGGACACACATGACTTAAGTCATATTCCAGCTTGGAATGTGCACCCTACATCTAGTCAAAAGGAAGCACCAGGAGAAAAACTGATGACCATTCTATAAAATAACTGGCCTGTATTCTCTAAAAATGTCAATGTCATCAATGACAAAGGAAGGCTGAGGAACTATTTTAGATCAAAGGAGACAAAAAGACATGACAACAAAATGCAGTACGTGATCCTGGACTGGGATCTCATACTGGAGAAGGGGAAAATGCCATAAAGAGCATTGTTGGGACAATCAACAACTTTGGAATATGGACTTTAGATGAAAGTGTAGCATCAGGGGAGTGGGGGGGGGTGCGGATATAGCCTGGATTCAATTCCCAAGACCTCCATTTAAAAAAAAATGTAGTGTCAATGTTAAATTTCCTGAATCTGATCAATGTACCATGGTTAAGATAACAGTCTTGTTCTTAGGAAATATGCACTAGAGCATTAACACATACAGGGGCATACTGCATGCAAACAACTCTCAAATGGCTCAGAAAAAACTAAGTTATAGTACATAACTAATTATAAAGAAAATTTGTCAAAATGTGAAAGTTGATAAGTTTAGGTAAAGAGTATATAGAAATTTCCTGTAATTTTTTTTGCAACTTTTCTGTAAGTTTCAAATTATTTCAAAATAAAAAGTTTTTTTTTAAGGTGCATCGGCAGAAGAGACATAGTCAAATGAGGACCTAGGGTGCATTAGAACAGTCCCAAGTGTCCAGACAAATTCTGACTTTCCTGCAGCTTGCTCCCTTTCACCCACTCTCCTAAAAAGACTCTCCCTCTAACCTCCAGCACTGCCACCTCAGAGGTGCTCCACCCAGCTTTTAGCTCCCCAGTCCTTGGCTTACCACCCTTGAA